TGCGTGTGTGTGTATGTGTGGGTGTGTGTGTTTAAAATATTCAAATTAGGTGTGTGCATAAACGTTGGTTGTTTGAGAGAAGTATCTGGCTGGGTGGGGGGGAATTAGATATACCGTATTCTAGTAACAGTTGGCTTCTTATCAAGACTGCGATTTCGAATCCTGATATTGAATCTTTTTTCATATAATTGGAAAAAGAACATTGTGTTGAAGGTTATGCTTGATATGATTATAACATATTTGGTTATACATCATATATGTACGTATGTACTTTAATACAACTAGCACTGAGGCACACAATAAAATTTCTATCGAAACCTGTTTATATTCTGATATCATAGATGATATAAGCAGGCCTAACTATATCACTATAACATTTTCCTTATTTACTACATTTGTTTTTAGTTTTAACATAAAATAGCTAAAATAGCTTGAATAGGCCTACTGGGAAATATGTTTCAAGTGCGAAATGTGTTAAGTGGCTCTCTCACGACCTGTCATTCAGTAGCGTACTGTAGTGGGAATGGATAATCAAGTGACCTCCAACTTTAAAATGTTTGCCTGTCGTCAGCTGCCCCTCTTTGAGAAAAAGATCAACGAGGAATTACACTCATGTATTCCTAATAATTTCAATATGAATACTCATAAAATATGCAAATACTATTATTATAGATTTATGATGGTTTACGTTTACATAACTCAACCTTCTACAAAGATTGTATATGTAAACGTCCCTGCAGTTTGAAGGACATATGAGTAGGCCAACGAATTGTCGTGAGAGAGAGAAAGCATCTTAAAAACAATTATGTTAGTAATTTTTCCGTGAAAAAGAAATGTTAGCAATTTTGATTAGCATTAGTGGATTCTTTACTTGACAGAGTAATCGTTTCTTGATCAGACTTTTTTGTGTTAGGTGAACTCGTACTCCTAGTTGACGCAGTGTTTGAAGCAGTCTTCCCGGGTGAAAGCGAATCTATGATAGAATTGAAAAACCCGGTTAACATTCTTTCACCTAGCAAATAAACCCAAATTCCTCTACGTAACCCTTTGCATTCAGTCGGACTATTGGTCACAATGGACTGCTTTCTAATGACCATCGTGAATATACATCAGATATGGAGTAACTGGTCATCCTCGGGGACCTGTACCAAGATGAGAATGCTCTAAAATTGTCGAAGCTACCACCGGGCATAAACACTCAAATACAAATACTGTATGTAAGAACAAAAAGAAATATGAACAGTCAGATAGGCCTATGTAATATTAAGTACGGCTACACTTACTTGAGAAATTGGAAGATGTTTGAACTTCAGTGACAATTGGCGGCTCAGTGATAGCAACAGTATTATCTTCAGTTGATGTTAAATGTGGGTCTAACGAAAAAAAATATAATATGAAAAATTATTTTACAACTACGTTTCGAACATAAAAAATATATACAATAAGATAATTGGACACTCCGTTTAAGGAAACACTATTACGTGAACACTTTTTTAAAAAATATTTTCACAAACGTTAACATTTCGGATAGTGCATTTTTGATATATTGTTATTCTCATTTTTTTAGCCATTCTATCTGGCACTGCAAACATATTGCTTTTCCGTGAAACAAGGGGAAATATATCATTTATTACTAATCTATATTATTATTGATTTTATATAATCTATATTATTCTTGATTTTCAAAATGGATACTGGTATCCCCATTGTGTGTATTAGGCCTACTTGTGAATTACTCTGTGTGTGGGTGTGTGTATTACTGTGTGTATTTCTTTGTACAGAATGAATATTGTTAACTTACCAGTTGTTTGCATCATCATAGTTGTAATAATGTGCGTTGTTGGATCTGAAAATAAATAAATAAATAAATTGCAACATTCAATAATTAGTCATAAAATTATAAATAAAAATAACAATACAGTGTATCAATAAAAATAATAAACGATAGAAATATTCATTAATTTCATTTTCATTTCATTTTATTTCACACAACGAAAAAACACAATAAGAATCTTCTGAAAAGTAAATAAATGACAAGAACAATGTAATATAATAATGTAAGTAATGATAGCAAATTAATAATAAAAAAATACAATAAATAGCAATAGTCGAATATAATATAAATAGTAATACTAATAATAATAATAATAATAATAATAATAATAATAATAATAATAAGAATATGATTGAGATGACTCTGACTTTTGTACATTATCATAACAATTATAACAATACCTATATAATAATCAACTATAATCAATAAGCATAACTACAATTATAATGAGTTATTCAAGAACCATATGGCTATTTTCGTAAATAAAATATAATGTATCCTTTGGAAGGTAATAACGCCTTGTTGTAAACGCGTTACTTACATTGACACACTAGTGGCTCTCCGGACCAAGTACCGTCTAGTTGGCACTCGATGGACACCGAACCAGACACTTGTGAGGCAGAGCTTACACACTCGTACAGTAGAACAGCTCCATATGAAAATGTATCACCGGTTCTTGTAGTTAGATTATGTTGACCCGGGTCCATGCAATCGATAGCTGGAATGATTAATAAATAAAACAATAATATAGAACACCGTTCAGTATTGAAAGTAGAGCATAATATAGAAATATTATATGGCTAATATGGTTAATATGGCTAGCTATTGCTGGCCATGTGATAAGAGATGATGAAGCAGACGGTAGGGTTCTACTCTGAAAGCAATGATGGATCGAAAGAGCTGGAGAAAGAACAGCGTCTATGTCACCGATAAAGTCGGATTCAGTTAAGTAAGTAAGTAATGTAGGAAATAAAATTATTATTTTAATTTACCATTTCGGCACTTACTAAAAAAACTGAATACCGTACAATATTATATAAGCCCATATATGTGGGCCCCTTTATTTTTAGATTTATTGAGGACTTATTGGCAAGTATTATTAAAAGGTAAGAAGCAATACAATACAAAATATAATTTGAATCTCGACACGATGGCGAGCATTTCGATACTTGGTGTGATGATTAATGGGGATTACGACGACGACGACGACGACGAAAGTGGTGATGGCTACTGTCATCGTAGGCCTGTAATATTGGAGGTTGCAATATAGGCCTAAGTATGTTTTTACTAACAGACACGTGGTAAAGGTCAGATCTTGGTTATGATCGTTAGGCAAACAAATTTAAATGACATATTTTAATGACTCTCTAATGACATCAATAATATATGTCTGAAGAAGACCCTCCACTGAAGACTTTTCAGGGAATTAATAAATACCTAATAATGTTATCTTCCCTACTTTCTATACGTGAATAAAATGTAAATGATAATAATACATAATAAATGAGATTTCTATAGCATTCATGTCCATTCTAAAGAAATACTCAGTGCTCAAGATGGGAAATAAGTAGCAGGGGGGAAAAAACTGAAAACTGCCAGTAAATATCTTACAAATTAACCGGAAGCAACCTAGCAACGCATCTGTACTTTTTAAAAATTATACAGTATATCGAAATGTTATATAGGTATGAAATGCATTATATAAATGTAGGATAGGCTTAATAAGTTTATGGAATTATGTGACATCCAAAACCAACCAACACCAACCAATACTCATTTAGCTTTGGGTACCGAGTCAACGATGATTTACTTTTGGCGCCTTTTTTTGTGAGGGGGTGGGGTTTGAAGGGAGCGTTGTAAATTATAATTTTTGTGATAAAATAACAGACTTACCTGTACATACTGGGCTTGACCCTGACCACGTGCTGTTTGCCTGACATGTCCTTGATGATGATCCACTGGAGATCACATCCCCCATGTTGGAGCAAGTGTACGTAACAACATCTGCAAACTCAAATGAATCGCCATCCCTCTGTACTCCTATTGGAATACCGGGGTCAGTGCAAGATATTTCTGTACAAGAATGAATGCAATTTAATTTAGTGATATTATTCAGTAAGAATCCATTCTTGTTTGCCAGCGTATTTCAGGAAGGTTGATCTTAGAGGGATGGGATAGCCTGTTCGTTTGGTTGGGCCTAGAAACGTAGTGTGACAGTAAAAAGGTCTGTTTCACTTTTTGTACACGAGCCGCAAAACATTGAACACTATTGCAGTGTTCAGTAGGGGAAAATTAGTAACATGGAATGTAAAATTTAATTATGACTTCATAATTGAATAATAAATAATAATATTATGATGATAATAATAAAAAATTGAAAATATTTTTTTAAAAATATAAACTAATAAAGTACATTATTCAAAGGGCCTACATTTAAAATTAGAATTATAATGAATATATGTACGATATAACACTTTCAAATAATCAGTACGGTATAATTTAGTTACGTAGGCCGAAAAAGTTTTACTTGCTGTTACTGCGTAGTGCCAATAAAATTATTTTTGTCTTATCTGTACCTTATTGCATTAGGTGTGACTATATAATACCTTCAATAATATAGTGCAAGATTGACTGTACAAAATAATTTTCAGCCATTAAAAAATGTGTACAATAAGAACCAAATAAGAAAATTTTGAGCCTAGGCAAAATTGTACATAAATTTCAAACAAATTTCTTATAAAAACAAAAAGCTGCTAGATCAAAGAAGAAACTTTATGCTTTACAGGTAGAAAGTGTAGCTGCTAGATCAAAAAAGAAACTTCATGTTTTACAGGTACAATATGTTTACTTTAAATTCCTCAGGACAGTCGTTATCCTTATTGTTGTAAAATATTTTTGCCTCTAAATAAAATTCGAGGCAAAGTTTTTATTTTCAGAGCTCCCTAAAATCTGGGACAATCGAAATAACAGAGCATCACAAAAAGGGGATTTACCTGACAATAAGCACCTTTTAGCAAAAATATGTAATCGCTGCATAAGATCAGAATTGTGTTTATGGGTCAGTGGAACGTGGAAAGGTCAAATATTACGCCTGCAATTGTTTTGACATAGGCCTATAAGAAATGTTATTTCAAAAATGTGGGCAAATATAGATAATTGTATCTTCAAAAATTATGTTGTGCCATTCAATATGCATGACTCACATATAGTAGCATTATAGTTTTATATCATAGGCGTTT